TTCTTCAACATGTGGACCTGGGTCTGCCTGCATCATAATGACCTGGGTGCTTGTTAGAAAAGCAGATTCCACACATTTGTCTGTTCTTTCTTTCCCTTGTTAGCATGGAAGAAGCCCTGGAGAGTGGAAACTGTTCTGTCTGCCCTGGCATACCAGTTCATAAGATGATATTGACACATTGTAAATGCTCAGTAAATGTTTGTGCAATAAATTAATTCTTCAATCCTATACTGACCCACAAATCAAAATCCCTAAGAATGAGGCCAAGGAATGCACATTTTAAACCAATACTTAAGTGATTCTTATGCAAGATAAAATGTAAGAATCTGGGTACCAAAGTAATCAAGTGAATCCTAAGATCAAAAGATGAAAGGTTTTATGTTCACAGTCCCCATATTCTCTGTCTGATCAGATAATATCCTTGGGTTAAACTTTTCCTTTTAGTTAAATGCCCTCAACAAGTCTTTATCTAGCACTTACTATGTGCCAGATTCAGAGCTCCTCAGTGGATGAGACACCCTTGTGGAGGACAGAGTGCCAGGAAGCACCCGAGCCATACCGGTCTCTTCCACTCTGCCACAAGCCAGCACCCGAAGTTGACTGTTTTACAAGGCTGCTTCCTCCTGCTGCCAGAGTGCCCAGATATGGAAAGGAGAAGACTATTCACCTCTGTCTTCCTGGGTGACAGCTCTGATTCATGAAAACCAGATGTTATCCTGAAAGCATCTAACATTCTGTCTGTTTTCTTCAGGGATACCAGCCCTGAAAGGCTACCCATGAGCCAATAGATGGTCCTACAACTATACACACTCAGGCAGCATTAAGCAAACTCAGTGGAGTTTAAAAAAATACATATGAAGTTGAGAGGAAAGAGTGGTGGTGAAGGATGGGGTGGGACTGGAGGAGAGGGAATAGAGGAGTTTATCAAAACATATTATATGCATGTGCGAAATTCTCAAACAGTTTTTAAAACAGGATTGAATGTTTCCAAACAGCCATACTAAGTGGTTGGTCCCTTTGTGTTTGCTCTGCAAGCGTTGTGCTTTGTTTCTAAAATATTTTTTGTTATTGTATGTGTATGAGTGAATTGCCCGCATACATGTAAGTGCACCCATGTCATTAAATACCCACAGAGGTCAGAAGAGGGCATCAAATCCCCTGGAACTGCAGTTGCAGATGGTTGTTAGCTGCCATGGGTGCTGGGAGTCAAACCCAGGTCCAGCAGCCTGTGCTTTTAACCACTGAGCTATCTCTCCAGTTCCATGCTCTATTTCTAGTTGTTGTCCGTCCTCCTGCAGCTAGGTCATGTCACCTGTCAACTCCTTTTTGTTTTGATAAATGATGTGAGACTAGATTCAGGTCTTGGGTTCATTCCAGTTCTTGACTACTCAGTGACACCTGGCTGGTTTATACTTAGTACAACACCTTGATGTGGATGAACAGATAGTGACTACCAGTCTACCCAAAATTCTCCAAGCTTGTGGCAAACTAGATGAATTCAAGAGATGCAAAACCAATTTCTAAGAAGAATTCTCCTTGCAGTTCCATGTTTACCTATAAAAATGCTCTGACAATTTTAATGTGCTTGAAACTTTCTGTAAAAGAAAAATATATTGCCCAACATTCCTCTGAAGTTTTAACAGTTTGTTGATAGCAGCATGGGAAATCCCATGGTCTTCAACTATGGGTCACAGTCCAACTGCTGGGGCCATGAAAAATGTAACAACAGTAAAGGGTTTCTGAATGTGTACTAACCAAATATTAATTCAAAATCAAACATGTAAGGATTCTGCAGTGTTTCTGGCATGTCCTGCAACTTTGATGTAGCACTGACCACACAACATGCCAGCTTTGCACTGAGTGCTGTCACCCCACTCAGTACCAATGAGCACTGCCTGAAACACCTCCATGCAGACCTAAGGCTAGTGCATACTATGTATGGACAGTGCACTTTTACTACACATACAAAGTTTTCTGCTGTGATAGAAACCTAATGGTTTAGTTACAGAAAACAAAAATTTTCACTATTTTTCTATCTCCACTGCCAGGCATGTATCAAATTAGTCTGTCTTTGGTTTGAATTGTTTGATTTTTAAAATTGCTATTATGAAAATATCTATCAACCCTGAAAAACATTGAAGATGCTGTACATCCTGCGATATGAAACATTCAGCTGAAATTTCATTCTTTATGTAAAAATAAACAAGGACATTCATCTCAAGAGTACACACCTTTGCTTTAATCTTTAACAAATGGTAAAGTATATGTATACCAAAGACCTAATATAAATTCCCAGGCTGGGTAAATAGCTCAGTCCAAAGTACTTGCTTTATAAGCATAAGGACATGAGTTCAATTCCCAGAACCCATATTACTAAAGCTGGGCATGGCGGGGAGGCTGAGACAGGCAAACCCAAGGGGATCACAGGCCAGTCAACCTAGCCTGTGATCCCCAGAAGACAGCATCTATCTCAAAAAAAGGTAGATGGAACCTGAGGAATTACATGGAAGGTTGTCCTCTGATCTCAACAGACATGCACGCACATGTGCATGTGCAACCACAACACACACATGCATCTGCACCTGCACACAGATAAGCATGTACATACATGTATACATGTATATACATGCAAATATAATTAAATGAATTTTTTATTATTTATTCATAGTAAGTGTTTAGCTAGTATCCTATTTTATATCCGTGTACCCAGAATTGAGCAAAAATTTCTCAGGTGAAGAGGGGCCATGACTAGAATAGAAATGTTTAAGAAGACTGATCTAGGAAAGGCTAACCTCACTGTTTTAAGTGGTGCACCTGGAAAACTGAAAGGTGGGAGATTAAAGGATGTAAGGTGCTTGCTTGAGCTCCCTCCCTAGCCCCATTGCCCCCTCTCCATCCCCTGGGGCTCACAGGAGTTCCTGAAGATGGAATGCTCTGGCCCTGAGGACAGGTTCTTTGCACCAATATACCTGTAATGCCACTGATCCATTCCAACCTGCAGACTAGTCCCTGGTAGCTTAGCTATTATGTTGCCCAGTGAATGCCTGTGAATTGCTTTGCTCTAGTAAACAGCTTCTCCTAAACCAGTGGTTCTCAAAGTTTTGAGGTTTAATATCTGGTGCATATTCCAAATATTTTGTTATACATGCTTCTTTTATTAGCCTGTAAAGAAACTGGTAGAAAATAAGTAACTGGCATACTCACTACAGAATGCCCAAATTATTTAAAGGATGAAGAAAAGTTACAGCCACAATATGTAATAAAAATCATGCATCTCACATATAAAAGCTTTGGCAACACAGTGCCAGAAAGTCTGGTGAAGCAGCCAGTGGTCCCCATATGCTTATTCACAGGGAGGAGCACCCCAAACCCCACAGCTCACTAAATACCCTAGTGTTCCCAACCATTTCTTTCATCCTTATTTTTCCAAAGTGTCTTCATAAAATTAGATTAATGATCCTAATGTGACATTTTTTCCAAGCTTTTCCCAGTACTGAATACTCCACTGTCTATAGTGCCTTGACAGTCCTTTATTTGTTCATTTCTCTTCAAAATCTTGAAAGAGAAATGTCACATTCCACTAAAACAATCTCAACAATTACTAAATGCTCATTGGATGCCAAATCTTTTAAAAGTAACTTCGCACTTCTTAACTTATTAACTTGGCTAATTGTAGTAACTCTGTACATACTGTTTATTCTTTTCCACGGATATTTGTCACAAGAAGTGAAGTAACTCCAGTAATATCACATGTGCAGCACCTTAAAGATTGTTCTAGAAATTGTTTCCCTTGATTGTCATATTATCAGGAAAACAGTATCTGTGTTTTGATTCTAGGAAAGACAGCACCAGAATGAAATGGTGTCTGTTCCTCTCATGCCTTTATACCTAATTGTTTATCATGTTAAGAAACGCAGCATCTGTGTCCATTAGGAAAGAAGTCCATTGGGAACCACATGATGATGTTTCTTCCTCCAGTGTCTAAGTGTTTGGAATTTGAGTCCCTGAGCTTAGGCCTGCCTTATCCTTTTAGACTTTGAGTGCACCTAGATAGTTTGGGAACATCATGTTTTCTTTTATATTTTTTTTATTTGGGCTGGAGAAATGGCTCTGCAGTTAAGAGAACTGTCTTCTCTCACAGAGGACCCCAGTTCAGTTCCAAGCACCCACGTGGCAGCTCACAACCATCCATGACTCCAGTTCCAGGGGATCTGACACACTTTTAGCCTCCATGTGCACACTTTCATACGGGCAGGCAAAACACTCATAAACACAAAAATAAACAAACTGGATAAATAAAAGTAAATAAAATAAAATTCTGTCAATTCTTTGAGAATTTCATACAATGTAATTTGATTATGTTTGCCCCCAGCTCCTCCCAGATCCATGCCTCTACCCACCCAATTTTATGTTCTCATGTTTTTTTAAACTTGTGAGGCCTAATTTGTGCTTCCCATGTACTCTTGGGTGTGTGACCATCCACCAGAGCGAGGTTGACCTGCCAGGGCTGCATCCTTAAACAAAATGACTCTCCCTCTCCCACGGTCACCATATTTTCATCCACAGATTTCCAGATGGATTTGCTCTTCTTGTTATGTTACCACTATCTAAAACCACAGATCTACCAAAGACTTGGAATGAAGATGTTTTTCCTGCATGCTTCTTCCACTGCTAAAAATCTTGTTTCCAATCAAGCCTGTTTTAAATTAATGCAGAGGATGAGTTTTTATCAATCTGTAGGCAAAGTAGAGGGACAGCATGGCCATTCTACCAAGAATATGGTGTGGTCAGAAGTCTCCCAAACATGCCAAGAAATTGGAGTCATGTATCATGCAGGGAAGTAAATGTTCTTGGAAACAGCAAAGGCACTGTCTTAACTGAGTACTCTTTACAGGTCTGGGATTGGAATCTGTCATCTTGTAGCTCTTTACTTTACATTGTAAATACAACTGAGTAAACTGCTCCAATTAAATCTATACTATATTCATTTTTCCTTGCAGAGGGAAAATGATTCCATCTGATCTTGAAAGAAGAATCCTTGAAGTCAAACAGAAAGTAAGTTTTTATAGGGATCTTTGGCCCATAACAATATGTATTTTGATTTCTAACCCCAGAAAGTCATTTATCTTTTACTTTTTACAAAGGATCCAAACTTCAATCTCCCAGCCTCAACAAGAACACAGAATTCTGTATGCAGTCATTATGCGTATCTCTGAGTTACATATATAGGCTCTGCTGTAGAAAAGTTTAAGTCGCTTAATAGGTAATTTATAGGGATGTGTTTCCAAAGCCTCTCTATGTGCTGAGGTTTGGCAATTAGCAGACACACATTCAAACAGTCATTTTCACAACTAGGAGATGTCAGCACGCTCACGCAGCACATGAGCTACTTCTGCATGAAATGTAAAAGGAACAACTTTTCCTGCCAAACATGTAATAATGGGTAATCCATACATTCCGTTCTACAGACACAAATTTAGAACTCTTTTAGAAGTAGCAAGACCCAGCTTGGGAGATAGCTCAATTGGTAAAGTGTTTGCCTAGCATGCACAAAGTCCTGGGTTTGATCCCCAGCACCTGCATAAACCAGAGATGGTGGAGGCAGGAGAGTTCAAGGTCATCTTCAGTTACATACGCAGTTTGAGACCAGCCTAGGATATATGCGACCTTATCTCCAAAAACATAAAATAAGTTCATAAAAGATTCCCACAAAGATCTAGAAAGTTCTTTATGTCCCTGGATGGTTCACTGGGCAGAGTTTGTTTTTAGAATTTTCAGTTTAACTTTTAGTAGATGAAATCTATAGCGCCTAGTCTATCAAGATATTCATTTTATTATTATGAGCTTGAGAGTAATTTTTTTCATATGCCTTTTTTTGTCCTACAATTTTCTTGTATCAAAACTATGACTAGTAACATAAAACATAAGATTAAACCTTTGCTGCCACCTAAAGACAGGCTCAGAAACATCAGGTTCTGTAAACCAGCAGGACAGTCAGGACAGCCTGGTCCTATCTGTTGACTTCCTTGCACCTTCTTGTACACACAGCCAATATTTCTATCAATTTTGATGCTGCCACTGACAGCAGAATCCTTAGCCCCCTGTGCACCCTCCATTCTAAGACTCCAACTGAATTGCCTTGAGCTACTCCAAAATGGGCGGGGGGGAGGCTGGCAGAATTCCTTCTTTCCTCTACTCTCCCTACCTACTCATGTTAGGGGAGGAATTAAGTTCAGATGCCCTGTTGTGAAGAAGAAAGACAAGGAAAAAGAGAAAGAAGGACCATATAGTATCTAGTGTGGTGTATAAATAGCTTGGGAACATCATGGAGAGCCTCTGGTGCAGTGAAACCTCTGCTGCTGAGTGCTGCTGTCACAGGACAGCTGTCAGATGCAGCTGAATGGGGAGCCCAGATTCTTGGAGGTAGACAGTGGACATTGGTTTGTGCTAGGATCTAGAATATTGATAACCTCTCTGTTGGTTAAAAATGTATGGGAGGAGAGATTTCCAATGTTTCTAAACAGCTCTTTAAAAGAAGCCTTAAAACAGTGTGCGGACACACACCTGTAATCCCAGAATGTGGGAGGCTGAGGCAAGAGAATGGTAATGAGCTTGAGACCAGTCTACACATCAAGTTCCAAGTGAGTCAGGGATAGATAGCAAGGCCTTGTCTCAATAAACAAACAAATAAACAAGCTTTGAAACCCTGTTTGCATTATTTGGGGATTTCTTGTTTCTGTAGGGTTTTGTTCCTTTCCTTGTGAGTGCCACAGCTGGAACCACTGTGTATGGAGCATTTGATCCCCTCTTGGCGGTTGCTGATATTTGCAGAAAGTATAAGATCTGGATGCATGTGGATGTAAGTATCCCCTGGGGACTGCCCACTACTCTTACACATTTTCCATAGGAGACTCATGGAATGCAATGCAATTTGCTCTCTCTCTCTCGCTCTCGCTCTCGCTCTCTCCCCCCCTTTATTTTCAGAGTGGTGTCATCTCAGTTTTGAAAGATTTCAGAAGCAAATTACCACAGAACTTATGTGGCATATAGTACATGCTGGAAGCATCCCGAGACTGATTGTTCCTTAAAATTCTCCAAATGAAAATATTGCTGGTATACCCAATGCTTGTGCTGAGTGTTTGGTTCTCAGTTCTTTGATCCATAATGCCCTTGGAGGAATATCAACCTACACACAATCACACACATGCAGCTCTTCCTCACAGGTATAATTGTGCACTTGCATTTATAGGAGAAATCCATCTAAAACTCAAGTTCAAGTTGGGTATTCATGTATTTGAAGGATAAAGGAGACTTGGTAACTTACTAGGAAATATGGATTACCAAATTTCTAATATTTTGGCTTGGTCAGCTAAGAAGCTGAATTACATTTTAGATGTCTTGACACCAAGCTTAATGACACTTTAAAAAAGGAGCTATACCACCATTTTCAAATAAAAAATATGCCCATTTTATGAGGATGAACTGAAGGGTTCACGTTGAATGTATTACTCCTGGGTGTGATCTGAAAATCAGGTGCCATCTGCAAATTGCTTGCTAATGCTCAGTGAGGAGATAAAGTATTTGTGACAAACCATCACTAATCTTAAACTATCACCAACTAAGCACAATCAGTTCAGCTGATTTTTTATTGCAATGTTTTCTCCATGAAGGAAGTCATAAGTTGTTACATATTCAGATGCAAACTCCTTATGCTATAATAACCCAAAACTTCAGGTAGAATGACTTTGGTCATTCATTTTATCTTGGAGCTGGTTTCATGGTCCCTCAGCCCATCTTATCTACTTCAACTGTGGGAACCACAGGTTTTCTCATGGTGTTTTGAGGCTTCCAAAGGAACAATATAAAAAACCATAGGAAGAGTTGTAGGAAGGACACGAGCTTGTTCCAGCTCATACAGACTAAGCCTCCAGTTTGGATCCACAACCATACCCACATAAATACAGGACAGAGTCTGAGACCTCCACCTTGACCTTTTAAAGGCTCAGCATTAGAGAAGGTAGCCCATCCCTTACGTTGTATGGACTCATGCAGGTCATCTTCTATTGCGTTCTCAGTATGGAGGACCCCACCCTAGAAATCTAGGCCATGGAAAAGTGCTACATTCTTCTTTACCTGGTTTTCCTCTTCAGGCCGCTTGGGGTGGAGGATTACTGATGTCTCAGAAGCACAAGTGGAAGCTGAGTGGCGTGGAGAGGTACATGTCATTTCATTGTCAATAATGTAAAGTGTTAGAAACTAAAGAAAAGAAAATGGTACTTGACTTCCAAGGAACTTTGGGGGTGCAGGAAACCCACTCTGCCCTGTGCTTATGGGACTCGCCTTGTGTATTATACACAAACTACAAAACACTTCAAGTTCCACATCATGGAAGCCAGGAAGAATGTCTCTTAGACATGAGGCTTTGTCTCCAGTGTTCACTCCTAGCATCTTTGAATCAACCACCAAAATCATTTAAAGCCTGCTGGCAATCCACATTTTCCTAAGGAGAAGATTCTATAGCTTTCATATTCCTTATGAATAATATCCACTGATTTGAAGAAAAAAAATTTTTTTCAGGTAAAGTAGGTAAACACCTTGTAATTTTTCAGTGCTGAAAGTTATGTGTGGTATTTGATAAAGGTATCTGACTTAAAGTCACGATACTGATTTCATTCTCATGGTTTCATTCCCACAATAACCCTTTTCTGACATAGCCCTGATTGATTCTGGTAAGTAGCTATTATTTGCAGCCCATGTAATAGACCATTGAGAAAAGCTGCAAGACAAAAAAGAGCTAACGTTTGAGTAGCATGAAACATATTGAGGTCCAAGGGAAAATGTTGAATACAAAATATGACCTCGGGCTGTGATTCTGAACCACATGCAAAGAGCAACCAGTTTTCCCATCACCACACAGCAAATCAACCAGGTCAGCTACAGCTGTGAGCTTTGACACTCTAGGCCATGGAGGAAGCCCAAATTCATCAGAGGCTGCCAACTGTCCACCATGCCCTGCCAAATAGCCAGATGCTGCCCAGGAAAGGCTTCACCCTGGCTCTGCCTCTAAATATCTCAGCACAAGTTCTGTTCCAGGACCAGGAGAGAGGCTTTGGAAGCTTGGGAGCATCTGTCAGCATGAAGGGTAGCCAAGCCAGAGGGTGTGCTGTGTGATAACCAAGCCTGAGAGCACATGAGTGTTGAAAGAGGATGTCCTGTTAAATTAGTAGAAAGAAGGCTGGGGAAGTATTGGGACAGAGCAGTTAAGCCCCATGTGATGGGACAATTGTTCCTGAGTCTTCTGGCAAGGGCTCTGGCCCAGGCATACCTGGGTTAAGTCACTAGAGATGCCCATGCTCTGACTGCAAGACCCATAGGTGAGGGGAGATGAGGGCAGGCATGTTTCCCCCTAAATTTGGCTACTTATAAACTTCTGCTCCTGCTCTGTTTGGCTTCCTTCAGCCTGATCCTATTTTGTCATGATGAGCCAGATGAAACAAGAGCTTTAAAGAAGAGACAATGCACTAGGAAGGTCTTAAAAGAGTGAGGAGAGAGAGAGAATGATTTAAAGGATTCTTGCTCAGATGATCAGAACAGGAATTAAATTCAGGGCTGGGGCTGGGGCTGGGGCTTAGTCAGGTGGAGCGCTCCTCTAACAGGCACAAGGCCCTGGTGTCTCACATGTACCTCCCCAAAATTAAGTTCATGAGCTTTCAGGAGAAATGGCCAGCACAAGTGCCTTCTCTTCCGTGAGTTTGTTTCTGACTAGAACAAAGCAAGGCATCTGTTATACTACTTTAAATACCACCTGAGACTCCAAGTGCTGGAAACCAGAGAGCACCCCACCACCACTTGAAAGCTCACTAAATTGCCTACCTGAGCCTGAGAAAAATAAACACCCACACGCTCTTGTACTTAAAGCCTATTATTTGAGAGCAGAGCTCAGAATGTTCATCTTGGAACACAGAGTCCTCTGTGTTCTTTTTACCACAGTTCTTGAAACTGTGTTATAAGTAAATTTATCAAGCGGAATAGCCAAAGATGAAGCCCCCGATGAGGGGACTGTGGCATTGCGCTCTGAGCATGTGGGTTGCGAGTATTCATCTGATGACTTCCTAGTATGAAACACACTCCCTTTGGTGAATAGGGTCACAAGACCAGTAGAAACTGCTGGGGCACAATGTGTGTGAGCTTAATATTGGAAGGAAATTACTTTTCTCCAATCATCGCAAGCTAAAGTTTAGGACTCACTCTGAAGCAGAGGAAATCCATGGTCCATGCTTTTCGGGGCATTCCTGGGTGGCATTCTCACAGCATGGTGCCCTGCCTGGCATCCTCTTTGGGAACCAACCAAATTCTCACATGACTCTCTTCCTAGCTAGCACTGTCAACATTCCTAGAGCAGGTACTGCTGAAAAGGCCTGTTGGAGCCCACATACTCAGTAACAGGTCCGATACTGTAAACAACCCTGCATTAGTCCCCATCTCCAAGAGACCTAAGGCCTCACTGAAGGGTGCAGTATGCTGAAACTGCAGTATCAACTATCCTCAGTCCCACCAGAGAGCCAAGGGCAAGCAAGCTAATTGAAGAGCTAGAGGAAAACATGGTCCTTTCCAGACAGCATCATTCCAGGGAGCATGTGCCAAACAGTGTGGAGCTTAGCATCATCCAGTAGGGTGGAAATGAAGAAGGGCATTCCAGCTGGAAAGCAGAGATGTTTTGAGGTGTCCTTGGAGTTAAGTCCAGTTTGGTTATAGGATGAGGTATATTTGTGGCAATGGGGTAGGAAAGTGGTAGAAGGTGAAGAAGTCCTGTCCAGGGAGTTTGAGCAGATTATCTACTACAAGTCTAAAGTCTCCAAGGGTGCTGTCCACATACCATGGACCCTTGAACTGGCCTGGTCATTTGGTTTAAATAAGATTCACAAATCCAGTAAGTATCCTCTCATTGGCTGGCTGACACTGCCATTCATCATTTCTTCCAAAGGCTCTCAGATCCCAAAAGGTAAAGCTAGGAGAACAGCATGCTAGGGCACTCTGGACATAGTTGCTATGAACTATTCTACTGCTTGCCTTCCTCCTGGGGTTTGTTTATACCAAGCTGGTACTATAATCCTCATCCCAAAGACCCTTTATTGTTTTGACAGACAGTTTGCCTGACAAATGTGGGATTCGTGGTGGGAGCTGTTGCTTTCTCTGGGCACTAGAGAAGGAAGGATTTGGAACAGCCCAGTGGGAGTGAGGGAAAGAAGTTAAATGAGGAACTGGAAAGGTAGTTCAGTATTAAGAGCACTGGCTGCTCCTGCAGAGGACTTGGGTTCAGTTTCCAGAATCCACATGATGACTAACAACCATCCGTAACTCCAGTTCTATAGGATCTGATCCCTCTTCTTGCCTCCATGAGCACTGAATGCATGGGTGCCCTTACATCTATGCAGGCAACACCCTCATACACATACATTAAAAATGAAGAAAGGGGGTTGGGGTAAGCTCAGTGGTAGAGCGCTTGCCTAGGAAGCTCAAGGCCCTGGGTTCAGTCCCTGGCTCCGAAAAAAAAATGAAGAAAGAAGAAAGAAAGAAAGAAAGAAAAAGAAAGAGGGAGGGGAGGGAGGGGGGAGGGAAGTTGTTAAAAGAATTTGAATGAGGCTACAGATAATACTGTAAGAATCTGGGCTATGAAAGAATAAGTAAAATTTAAGCAAGTGGAGCCAAGAAAGATGACATTCCAGGGGGAGGTAATAACATGACAGGGCCCGGGAATAGAATAGAATGTTCTGAGAACAGTGACTAATCTGGTATGATGGACATGGATAAGAGGGAAATGAAAGGACTCAAGGCTGAACATGCAGAGGGCTCACCCTGAGGGTATCACCATCCATGCCCTGTATTTTGGAATTTGAGCTCTTAGAGAAAAAGGGTTGTCAACAATTTAGGAAGAAGAGAGGCCATAAGCAAAACTAGAAGGTAATTCTGGTGCCAGGTGGAGGAAAGAGTCAGTTAACACTGTATCCAGATGAAGCTAATATTAATTTCTTAAAAAATATTTTATTTTTTATGTGTATGCATGTATTGCTTGCATGTAGATAAGTGCACTATGTCCTGCAATGCCCGCAGAGGACAGAAGAGGCTGTCAGATCCCCTGGAACTGGAGTTAAGGACAGTTGTTAGCTGCCATGTGGGTTCTGGGATTCGAACCTGGGTCTTCTGCAAGAACATTCAGTGTTCTTAACTGCTGAGCCATCTCTCCAGCCCAGCTAATATTAATTTTTATTAAGCAAATCTGAACCATAGTCCTAGTGAACCAAGCCTGATAGAGCCACAGTTTACTGAGAGAGCATAGCATTTCATGTGCACAAGGACCGAAAAATGACGAAGATTCTGCTGTAAGGCAGGTGTGGCTGCCCACATCTCTAATCCCAGCACTCAGGAGGCTGAAACAGGAGGCTCACCACCATGAAGCAAGCCTAGGCTCTACAGTGAGACCCTGGTTTGAAAGGAAAGGAAAGGAAAGGAAAGGGGAAAGAGGGAAGAGGAAAGAGGAAACAAGGGGAAAGGAAGAAGGGAGGGGCAGGGAGGGGAGGAGAGAGGAGCAGAGGGGAGGGGAGGGGAAGGGAAGAGAAGACAGGAGTGAAAAGACTCATGGGAGAAATATGGTCACAAACCGACTAGAAGGATAAATGAGATCAAAGAAAGAGGACAGTTCACCACACAGGGTCAGAAGCAGGACAATTAAGGGTATAAGAGCAGCTCTTTCATCTATCCAGTGCTCTGGTTATCAGTGGTCGAAGGGGCCCTAGACCACCGTGGAGGCAGAGTGCGTGCTTTCACTGGAGGTGGAGGGAAGGGAAAGGACATGGAGACACACCTCCCCCATCTCTGTGAACAAAGAAAGGTTGCCCTTTGTAGAGATGTAGCACCATGCTGTTGTGTGAGGAGCAGAACCAGTAAACCTAAAGCTCACATGCCAGGTGCAGAGTCTCAGGAATCTGAGCCTGACATGGAATGCCACCCTCTTATGTGACATTTTTTTAGGGCCAACTCTGTGACATGGAATCCACACAAGATGATGGGTGTCCCTTTGCAGTGCTCAGCTCTCCTGGTTAGAGAAGAGGTAAGTCTTTCCTGACTCTGGGTCCCTCCAGGGCTGGGGTCTGACTCTTTGCATGCAGCTCCTGTTTTCTGCTAGGGTCCAGATGCTCACCTTTCCCACAGGGAGCTCTTTTAAGCTCCTGGAAGGTAAGGATCTGGTGCCCAAAAGGGGAAAGATGGCCACGGGGCTCTCAGCCCTGAGCAGCACCCTGACTGCATCTCCATGCCTTCTGTTTATTTAGTACCCCCTAAGTCAGAGACCTCTATACTCCCTCAAAGAATTAAATACCCAGGTTTCTTTCAGAATAGGAGAAGGGGTAGTTTTTAAAATATATTTTTATTTTATGTGTTTGAGTGTTCTTCAGGCATGTATGTAAGTGCACCTGTGTTGTACAACAGACACAGAGGTCAGAAGAAGGTATCAGATCCCCTATAACTGGAGTTATAGATGGTTGTTGGCTGTCATGTGGGTGCTGGGAACCCAACCCAGGCCCTCTGTAAGAGCATCCAATGGATACAGTTAACACTGTAACACTGGATACAGTGTTACAGTGTTAACCACTGATCCAGCTCCCCAGCCCATGGGATAGTTATTAACCATAAAAAAATTAGGTTGTTACCATTGGAAATATATACATGATACAGAATTAAAGTTAGTGCTAGAATTTAGATACATATGCATGGGTGGATATGTATGTATATAGCATATATCTCACAACTTCATTTAAAATCTGTAATATTCAGAATGCAAGTTTAAGCCATCTTCATATATAGTAGCCAACAAAGAGAATGAGCAGGACCACTTTGATCTGAGAGGCTTAAGCAAGGTCTGAGGTTGAGCCTCATATTGGCCTGCTCTTCTAAGTTCCCCCTTCAAGACACCAAGACAGGGTCATATCTACTCTTAACACACTTGTAATCCTAGTACTGAAGAGGCTGAGGCAGGGGAGTGCTATAGTTCAAACCCAGCCTGACCTAAAGAGTGAGACCTTGTCTCAAAAAACAAAACAAAAGCAAATGGAAAACCCCACCAACTGCAAGCTGCTCTTTACATTCCAGTGAAAGCTTGTCTGATCCATCCACCATCCCATAGTCTATGAAGTTTGTTCCTTTTAGTATTGACGACATCTATTTGTGCACTTGCAATGCCTGGGAAAGAATAGTTCAAAGTTTTTATAGCTGTGAAACAAAATAGAAACACCTACTATAATCTCACATTTTCTTGGTCTTTAAGTGAATTTTCTTTTTTTTTTTTAAATTCAAGTTCTTTCTACTGGTCTAGTAGAAACATATCATAAACATATTTGTTCTCATTATTCTTAAAGATAACTATGCAGTCCATGTAATATGAAACCCAAGCTACAAAGTAGAGTGAATTTTATTGTCTTACAAACGCTCTATCTTTCAAAACTTGATTAAACTTTTAGTTACATTGTGCTGTGTTGTAGTTCGGATAAGTTTTTTTTTTTTTTTTTTAATTCTCACTTTTACTTCAGCTCAGTGATCACATTTTAGTATTTCTTTTCTTCTCTTGTCATGAGTCACAAGAGAAAACAAAACCAAATGCCAAAGCTTTTATAAAGTCCCAATTAAACAATAGGTAGCAAAACAGTCCAAAACACCCACCGGTTGAATCGATGAGGGGACTAGCATGCTATTCTAGTCAGAAGAATGAGTCACCTACCATTCTTTGGGACAATTCAATTCTCTTCCATAGAAACCTGTTTCCATATTAGAGTTATGGTGCTCGGGAAAATCCATGGTCACTAACAGGAAACTTTTCAATTTCCATAAGCAACTGAATGTGGAAATCAGTCTCAAAGGCTTTCAAAGAGAGGAACAAGATATAAGAAAGACTGATCTCTTAAGTTTGCCTCAGAATTGCAGTGTCTTTGGATTTTTACATTTCAGTATATAAAAATAATAATTGTTACTAAAGAGCTCAGACTCCTAACAACTACAGAGGACTGAAAATGCTAGAAGGACCATAGTTAATCCTATTTTAATCTTCCTCCTCCTCCTTTCCCTCCTCCTCCTCTTTCTTTTTATTCCTTCTTTTGATTTATTCATTTTATTTTTTATACGTATGAGTGTTTTGCTTGCATGTATATAAGTGCACCCAAGGATGCAATATCTGTGGAAGCCAGAAGAGAGCATCAGATCCCCTGGAACTGAAGTTACAGACAATGGTTAGCCACTGCGTGAGTGCTAGGAACTGAAGCTGCCAGCGCTCTTAACCCCTGAGCCATCTCTCCAGCCAGCCACCTTTTTTTTTCTTCGCAATTGCCACCGCAATGTAAAGGTAACCAAAAGTCAATAGAGCACCCTGAATTGTTTCTTTTCTCTTTTAGGGACTGATGCAGAGTTGCAACCAGATGCATGCTTCCTACCTCTTTCAGCAAGATAAACACTACGACCTGTCCTACGACACGGGAGACAAGGCCTTGCAGTGTGGACGCCACGTCGATGTCTTTAAATTATGGCTGATGTGGCGAGCAAAGGTGAGCTCAGGCCAGCTGAATGGCAGCTAACAAAAGACTGTGATGATTGTTTCAAAAGCCAGATGAAAACTTACTCAAGAAAGTTCCTTTAATCCTGTATGTATGTAACTTCATTCTCCATAGCAAGTCTCCTCTCAAGCCTGGTTGCTTCTAACACTTGTTCAACCAAAAATCCATTTTCCACAACTTGCAGTACACCTTGATTTCTTAAGAGGCTCTAATTGATGTCATCCTCATTGTTATCTGGTTTATTTCATGCCCCACATCTAGCTTGGTTTATAACCAGGGATTGACCACCTGGGTAGGTTAATGTTTGTAGAATGAAACAGAAAGTAAAACACGGCCTACTGTGTTTTGGACATTTCAAAGGTTAACTTCTAATGATAAAGCTCTTTTTAAAACTCCAGAAGTACCTAACCTGTGTGCGGGGTTCTGTTTACCTCAGAATTTACCCAAAGTCACCATTTCTCTCCCAGCAAAGTAATTCTGTAGCTAATTGTGTGCGATACAAACTGGGTCTTATTAGAGCCTTCTGAAGGCACCTGTTTATGATGGGTGTAAGGAGGCTAGACAGGTCAGAGTGTATTTTTTCTTAATTTATTCTTTGACAGTTTGATGCACATATAGTTCACTCTGGTCACACTTGTCCCTCAGCCCTTTTTTCGCTCCCCCTTCCTCCCAAGTCCAAACTTTCTTATCTTCTTGTTTTGTGTTTGTTTTGCTTTGCGACCCACTAGGTCTAATTTTGACTAGATTTTCAACTTACAAATGACAATATCACTGACTTCCACAAATATGGTGTTATATATCTCCATGCCTAACATATAATAGAAACCCAACTGCAAAAACCCTATTCCAGGGAAAGTTGACGAAGGGAAACAAGAAATCTGGGGACCAAGAGAGAAGCCTGTGTGCCCAGAGGGCCTATGTTGTTGGTGAGGAGCTGCACGTCTGACTCTAGGTTTGTCTTTGTCTATACAATGAGGCAACAGACTTAGTGGACAGGTGACAGACGAGGAAACAACCTATCAGCAGGGGTACTGACTTCCAGGAAGAGGCCAGGGAATAGTGCTTCCTTTAGTTTGTGTAAAGAACTGTGTCCACAACCACAAACTCCACAGAGTTGTTGTGAAATTTTTCCAAATAAAATTAATTATGTGGTTCACTTGGGGGCAGGGTGGCTAACAAGAAAATAGAAAAGATTGCAATCCACAAGTGTTTTAGAGAGTCTTCTTTAAATCTCTTTTAGAGGAAAGAGGCAGCTTAAACAGATGGGCCTTGCTTAAATAAAAATGTCTCTTAAAGGTTTCCAGGAACAGCATCTCATGTTCTTTAGACAGACCCCTTAAGGCATTTACCCCAGTTGAGTTTTCTCCAGGTGTTATTAAGTATCATAGCTGCATAAACTGAGGTGCTTCTGGGAATAAGGATGATGTAGTGGTGCCCATCTTCTTGACTTTGACAGAGGCACCCTCCCTCTTTTGAAAGTTGAGAGCCTGGCCAAATGAGGTAGCACATGTTTATAATCCCAACACTTGGGAGACAGAGGCAGGAAGATCATTGCAAGTTCAAGGCCAGCCTGGTCTATATAACAAGTCTGAGACCAGCCAGCAATACTCTATCTCGTAAAGTCAAAACTCAGAATCTGAAGAAAACAATCGGCGGACCCATTACCCTACATGAGACTTGTTATGTTGGTAACAACACTTTCATTTGATAAGAAAAAAAATCAAGGGCATATACTGTTGATGTGCTCCCAATGTGCTCTAAAATGAGAAGGTTTTATTTTCATCGATGGATGGAAATTATGAAATTATTAGCTACAACATCAGACAGTAAGTTCAGAAAGATTGGTCGCCAAGCAGAGTGAGATCTCCCTCTTACTTCAGCCACCATTCCTCTCTCTCTCTCTCTCTCTCTCTCTCTCTCTCTCTCTCTCTCTCTGTTGTCATTAATATGTGTGTTGTCAGCTGTGTTTGCACAGGTCTTTCTCTCACAGTTCCCCTGTTGCTGATGCCTCCTGTCCTGCACTAAACAGCCCTTGGTTCTTAGAAAAATAATTTGGTGAATATCTGGTGTGATTCAAATAGCAGGAACATGTAAATCCCAGAAATAAAAGTGGAGATAGCGTTTTCAAGTGCTGAACCAGAGCCAGGTGTGCTGGCCCACGCCTTTAATCCCAGCTTTCAGGAGGCAGAGGCAAGCAGATCTCTGTGGGATCAAGGCCAGCCTGGTCTATATAGTGAGTTCCAGGCCAGCTGGGGCTACAGGGAGACTCTGTCTCAAGAAAATCAAGTGCTAAGATAAAAGACCTCAGAGACAGGTAAAGAAGAAAAAAATCACAATAGCTGCCTTTACTTAGAAGCACAAGTCCTTTTGATTCCGTAACTAGAACTTGAAATATTTGGACATCTAACTGGCAAACTTTTCCTTTTGTTTTCAGCTTAAAGCTTTACTTTTTGCATGGTGAATTGATAATAGCTATTAAAGAAATAAGCTCAGTCCTGCAGCCTAGACCAGAGGTGAGGCTAATTCTCAGCCAGAGGCATACCAATCACAGAAGCCATCCTTTCCCTTCTAGAACAACCATAGAACATCTGGCTATAGTGATTCTTTTTATTTTTTTGAGACAAGATGTTACTCTGCAGCCCAAGCTGACTTCAAACTCACAGCAATCCTTTGGTTTCAGCCATAAAAGCATATGGTGATCTTTCTTCCTTTCCCTGGAATTAGGACACTGTCTAAAAAAGAATAATGAGGAATAGGAGAGGAAATGGAGCATCAATTCAGTAACTCTGTTATTAGAAATGCCTAATAAATGTGATATCCAAGTTGACCCAAGTCTTCTCCTTAGCAAGATAAACCACATAAAGAATAATAGCCTAACTATAAATTACCATTCTTCAAATTTATCTGTTAGTGTCCAAAGCAGCCAAGTGCAATGCTGACAGCCATCACATTAATGCCAATATTATGTGTTTATTAAAACTTTATTGCAACAGTGAACCTTTAGACGTGAAGTACCATAAATATTCAACATGGTAATAAAGCATAAAAGCCTGTTCTTGCTGGGGAAGGCTTTCATTTTGTCTGCACTTTATTACAGACTCTTAGGGCTTGAAGATTTGCTCAGTGGATAAAACTTAGTTGTAGACATGAATGAATGATCTTAAAGTTACTCCCCCCTTTTTAGGCCTACAAGGATAGACTATTATGAAGCTACCATGACTTAACAATTAACTTCTGCACATGCTATGGTTATATAAATTGTCCTGTTTCCTTATAGTTACTTAAGACTGACCTCTCTGGTTGAAAGAGCAGATAAAGGGCTGGTGGGTAGCTAAGGGAAGAAAAATAAAGGAAAAAGAATCAGTAAAGGGAAATTGACATTGGCATCCTTTGCTAAGTGGCAGAACATTCACCTTCTCTGTAAAACATTGATTAATTGTAATAAGTAGCTTGTGAATATTGTTGTCACCTGGTACTGAACGGTGTGGAATAAAGAGGCTGCCATTTTCCAGGTAGGATAAGATAAAATCTAGGTACTTTCATAACTTCACACTGTGGGGATTTAAAGAATGAAGAATTTGTTCCTAGTTTGGGAACCAAGAAAGCTTTCACAAGAGGTAGACTTTGAGTGGAGCTTGAGCAGAAGAGGCAGATTGGGCAGGATTTGAAGCAGCAGAGCTGGGAGAGACATTCTAGGAGCAGGTCAAGCAAGGAGCTCAAGTGTGAGCTTTGAGACCAGCAGAGTCCTAATTGGCTGAAGGCCGATGAGGGAGCTACTGCCTGGATGAACCTCAAGAAGGCTAGTACCAGTGGGGCAGCAGCAAAAGGACACAGCAAGAGAGTCTGTAACCATTTCAGAATGGCATCTTCACACACATACACACACACACACACATACACACACACACACACACACACACACACACACACACACACAGAGGGACGCATGCACACCTATAGAAGAAACAGGACCTCAGTGCCTGTGCCACTGACATCTGTGGGCTTCTGTGAACCTAAGCCGCCAGGTCAGGCTAAAGCAATCCTAAATTGCTTAGTAGCCATAAGATTCATGAAGCTCTTGGCCTAGGTGCTGGCTGAGCATTTAGGTATCATCCCAGGCTGAGCACAGACACTACCAGGAAACATTTAGCCTCCTGAAGCCAATCACCTGGGACTTTTCCAAAGAAGTGAATTTCTGAAGCCATTCGATTTCTTCAGAACAGCCAAATCTGAGACATACTTCATGTGCTACACTGGGCTGGGTGTCCCCTTTAGGGAATGATGAGTTCCTGTGTGAAAGGGGGAAAGCCCCATCTTATCTCCATTGTTGTTACACTTGCGCCCTCTAGCTTCCGTGCTGGACCAGTTACTGGTACACCAGTTCCAAGTGCTCCTTGAATGAGCTTTAGCTGCCTTTCTGAGCTTTCCATTAGCACTCAGTACATGGAGAGAGTGAAGGAGACCAGAGGAAAGCTATTTTGGAAAGCAGGTTCCCAGTGTGCACAGCACTAGCTAAACAGCTCCAGTCCAAGGCTGTTGCACTGCTTTTTACAAGTCCAAAGCCAGTTTCCAGAGCTGAGAAGTAAAATACCTAGATGACATATTCCTCCATTGCAGACACAGGAGTCACTAATCATACCAAAGCGGGACAGGAAAGAGCTGGGCAGAATGACAGGCTCCCTGACACGCATTCGTTTGGACAACTGACATTTAGTAAAGGCCTGTTTGTTCTTAGCACATGTGGGGTCTGGGGCGGAGAATTTATATCATGAGTAGGGGCCAAGCAGGCATGGGGGGGTCCCTAATAATGCTACTTATCTTTAGAGAGAGACTAGCCCAGCCCTTCTGTTATTAATGACTTATGATTACATCTACGAGCTGCAAAGGCAAATTTTCCCCTTGAGTAAATCAAAATAATTGCCTGGGGAATGAAGGCTTCATAACAAAAGGAGTCAGCTGTGGAGACCAGTAATGAAAAGGAACAAATGCAACAGAGGGGGAGAGCGTTAAAGGGGGTAATCGCCAAGAAAGCCTCTGGGAACAGTCTCCTGGAAGGAAAGTGGCAGAGTGGCAGAGTCAGAAGCAGCAGAATGGCCACTAGTCTCCAAAGGACTCACATCATCCTACCATGTCCACCTGAGAGCTACCCACATGCTCAGCCTGTCTAACGAACTTCCTTCTTTTCTTCCTTAGGGGACTACTGGGTTTGAAGCACATATTGACAAGTGTTTGGAGCTGGCGGAGTATCTATATAATATCATTAAAAACCGAGAGGGATATGAAATGGTGTTTGATGGGAAGGTATGTACTAAGATTTCAACAATCCCCACACGTCTCGTCAATTCCAGTCCTTATCCCTGGTATTTTCTGATGTTAATAATGTGCTGCCATGCAAAGTAGGACCATTGCAAAGAGGAAGCAATGGATGGTGGGGTGGCTCTCCAAAGCTGGGATAAAGATCAAGCTCACCAATCAGTATAGAAAAGTGAAGCATCTGGAAGGCAATCACTCATTTAAAAACAGGAGTTGTGCTATACATACATTTGAAGCACCCTCAGAAGTTTGGACTGGGTATGACACTCACTTTGTATCCTCTTTGTAGCCTCAGCACACAAACGTCTGCTTCTGGTATGTGCCTCCCAGTCTGCGCACTCTGGAAGACAACGAAGAGAGAATGAGCCGCCTCTCTAAAGTAAGTGCTCAGAGCCCTCCACTGTGTCCTTGTTACAATATGCACACATCTTCACGAGAAATACCACCTTGGTGCCGGCTCATCCCTTCTACCAACTCCAACAGAGCAGCCCAAAGCCGGTATTTCTACACTCTGTACAATTCCATTTGCTTATTTCTTGAGAGAGATTATGATGTTTTAAGATAATTAATTGGGTAATAATCTTTACTAACATTCAGAAAGAGCCAGGAACCCTTATTGAAGGTAATCGAAACAAAACGGGTACTAATTTACGAGCACAAAAGAAAGTGGGGGGGGCAGAAATGACGATCCAAACGCGGCTGCCAGACCCTCCTGAGATCCAAGGTCAAGATTACCTTGGGAGTCCTTAAAGCTTTCTGACTCCCAGAAGATAAAAGGGCAAAGGGCAAAAATAACGACAGCTATTTAGAGCGTGCATTGAGGTGTCCCAGGCTCATCTGTCAGGTTTTAGATTATCTAAAGTCATGTAGCAACTTCCAAGTCGCATAACAACTTCCCTTGAGTTGATATCAGCAAGTACTGTTGCTGCCCCATTTTACTGAAGAACAGGGAGAAAGCATAATTTTCCCCAAATGATACAGAAAGTCTGACTCCAGAGCCTAAAAGCCTGAGCTTTAAAGTCTCCTCTGGTCAGTAAGGTACTTTTTACCTTTAATCCCCGCCTACCCCCAACATTTACACTTGCATGAAATATGCTTTATCATGCACACCAAAGAGAGAGGAATTCAGAGCCTATCTCTCACGGTGCTGTAGGAATGGGAAACCAGGGATGATCATATGTTTGCACTTCAGAGGGCTGAGGCTGGAGGCACAGCTAGGACAGGCAGACACTACATTCCCCGTTGCTAAGAATTTTCCTTGTTACACCTCACTGACCTTTCAAGACACTTTATTCCTTTCTATGTAAGAGGAAAAATAGGATTCCTATAGATCAAAAACACTCAGGAAAGCTTATAAATGTTAACATCTGCCCTCCAGCAACCAAGGACCACACTTCAACAGGAGGAAACTTGGATACAGTAGAGGTCTTTATTTCAATTTTACTTTTTTATTTGTATGTGTTGCATATGTGGGTACATGTTCATGTATATGGGCACATGTGCATGCAGGGGAGTGTGCACGTGTGTATTCCTGTTGGGGGCAAGAATGAAGTTAAATTCCAGTCAAGCAAGGCCTTTGTCCTCCTGGTATAGGGCTATAGCATTCAGTCACCGCTCCAGTCGTTTGCAGAGCTAAATTACTGCCTCTTTTGGGGTTGCAATATAATGAACTACTACAGGTCAGGTGGCTTGTGAGCAACAGGAACTGTTCTCACAGTTCTGAAAGCTGGGAAATCTGAAGTGAAGGAGCCAGCGGATTCCATGTCTCTTGGTCCATGAATGAGTTTTTTCACAATATCCTGATATGGCAGAAAGAGGGCTTTGTGGGGTCTCTTTCATAAAGTGCTAATACCATGCATGGAGGCAGACTCTCCCAAAGACCCCATCTCTTGACACCATTAAATTGAAGTTAGGATTGCAATCTAGGAATCTGAGGGAGCACAACACTGGGTCTAAGCAAGTACTCCTCACATATTCCCTTGCATAAGGGAGGGGGGAGTGCTTTTAGCAAACCTAATGGTGGATTGTGAGCCCTTCCCAAGAATGCACTGGTGTGGGGACAAATACCTAGGTAACAGAAGTGGTTATTACTAATACAAGCAGTCGCAATTCATGAGGTGGTAAAGGTGAGAATCAGCCCAGGCAGGCTGCCCTGTTGCTCATCTCCTGACTTCCTCTCTTTAGTCTCCATCATCATCCCGGGTTTTTTTGCTTGGTTGGTTGGTTGGTTTGGGGTTTTGTGGTGTTTTGCTGTTTGTTTTGGGGTTCTAGGGATGGAACTCAGGACCTCGTGCATGCAAGGCATCTCTTCTACAACTGAGCCACATTCCCAGGCCCTCCTCTAATTATTCTTGATCACTATCTGCTTCTCTTCTCTCGGTTTTCATCATCCTACACTAGTTGATGACTTTCAGAAGGTCAACAAATGGATTTAAAGCAAATTAGCAAAGAAGGAATTTGGCCTCATATTTACAGTGACTTTTTTAAAGTCTGCTATTGCATGTAATGAGGAATTTAATTGGCAAGATTTTAACATTTCAGAATGTCTCAGTAATGATTGTTCTTCCCCATTTGTAAAAATTTCATAGATTCCTAAGATTTAAAAACAAATATCGTTATAACATTCATAGTAAAACTATTTCTATGATAGTAGTGAGGTTATTTCATGAATACCAACCCTCTTAGGAGAAACAATGTGGATTTGAATTACAGAGAGGCCTCCTGGCTATTGCTTTTTCTTTCTTTGCTTATTTAATTTTTGTTTGTCTGTCCTTTCTTTGTTGTTTTTAAAACAGAGTCTCACTTTGTAGCCTTGACTGACCTGGAACTCACTATGTAGACCAGGCTGGCCTTGAACTCACAGATATCCACCTGTTTCTGCTTCCTGAGTGCTAAGATTAAAGGCATGCACCACCATGCCCAGTTGGCTATTGTTTTCTAAAGGAATAAAAACTTAATGGCATAAGAGGAAGGGACAATACTCTGCAACTCTTAAGGTAGCCCCAAAGACATGTTTTTTTTTTTTACCAACTAGGTCTTTAGTGACTTGGTCAGCACACAGATCCTCTTTCTCAACTGACCTTCTTTATTAGAAAACTTATGAACTGCACCCCAAAATCTAGAAATGAAACTGGTTATATTTTATCAGATTATTCAGAGTCTTATTTCCTTTTTTAATTTGTAATTAGTGAGTATGTGTGCAGTATGTACTCCATGTTCACCTGACTTTACTTCACTCACATGTATGAACATTAACCAAAAGTTCCTTTCATGTAGACAGCTATACTCCTGCCAGCTCAGCTTGCTTTGGGAACTGGGGACAGGAGGGTCACTTTCACTCTATGACAAAATTTATCTGAGATGTAACTGTCAACATTAATCTTTTGTCCTTTGATTCGCATTCATCTGAGGAACTAGAGATAACTGTCTTTAATAATTGGTGTCATTCTTATGTTGGTTGGCTTGGGTTGCCCATGAAAGTGAAATGAGAGCTCAAGTTCAGGTCACTTGAGTAAAGCCTCATCAGTGTTTTATTAAAACTAAAGACAATAGCTGGGCGAGGTGGCACAAGCCTGTAATCCCAGCCTTTGGGAGGCTGGGACAGGACTACCACAATTTAAAGGCCATCTTGGGTTACATAGTAAGTTCCAGGCTTGCCCAAGGTACAGAATAAGACCCCATCTCAAAAAAAAATTAATTAAAAAGCAAAAAATCGGGCCAGGCATGGTGGCGCACGCCTTTAATCCCAGCACTTGGGAGGCAGAGGCAGGCAGATCTCTGTGAGTTCAAGGCCAGCCTGGTCTACATAGTGAGTTCTAGGACAGGTGGGGCTACAGGGAGACCCTGTCCCAAAAAAATCAAAAAAAAAAAAAAAAAGCAAAAAGTCCTCAAGGAATAGTTATGTGACTTTTTAGAAAAAAGTTTCTCTAACCATGTGGGTTTGGAATTCCTTTTCTACTCTGGGATTTTTTCCCCCCAGAAACACATTGATCTGCCATGCCTCATAATACAAAGTAATAAAGCTAATGTCCTAAGAATAGACTATTCTAATAGATCTACTTTTAGAACTTAATCCCAGACTTAGGCTTTTAACATTTTTAAGTTATTGATTTATTTTAATTTTTATGTGTATGGGTTTTTGGCTGCAAGTCCACCACATGCATGCAATACCCACAGAAGCCAGAAGTGGGTATCAGCTCCCACAGAACTAGAGTTACAGACAGTGTAAGCTGCCATGTGGGTGCTGGGAATTGAATCCAGGTCCTCTGCAAGAGCAGCCAGTGCTCTTAACCACTGAGCCATCACTCCAGCCCCAAGATTTTAATGATTATATATATATATCTCCTGGGATGAGCCCAGTGTTCTGCATACATCCTTAATCTTTTAAGCAAAAAAAAGAAAGAAAGAAAGAAAGAAAGAAAGAAAGAAAGAAAGAAAAAGAAAGAAAGAAAAAGAAAGATCATAGAAACCAACCTCCCCAAGGAAGGGCAGGGAACAGATCCAAGAACTCATTAATCTAGAATCAGAAATTCTCAGTACTAGAACCCTCACCCTCATTCACTTTCAGATGTGGGAACTTGAGGTGAAGGTGAAGTACAAAGACTGGACCTCACAGGATCCTTGCACTGAGTTTGTGAGGATGATACTTCTTGTAAAGCAGTGATTACCAAAGGGTTGATATCTAAAAGTCACATGTTCATAATTGCATTCCATTTTAATCTGTCCTTCATTGAAGATGAATCTAACTGTGGTGTAAGGGATGATCCCCATTTTCAACTGGATTTCTGACCATGTACATCACACTTATGTCTAAAGCATCCATGGCTTCTCAATCATGGTTATATGCTTTTAATGAATTTCAAAGATCAGGTGTTATATTTACAAACTCCAGTGGTAAATATATGTGGACAGATCAAGCATCCAGTTAGATGCAACTGCAGCATCTTCTTAGAGAGCTGGTGCTCCCATGCTGCTGATGTAGTCAAAACTCAGAAAGTCCTGTATATATCCTTGTACTATGCTGGGAAACAAAGGAAATAGAAGATACTAAGCCTACATTCCAGGAGCATACAGGTGAGGTACAAATAGAAAATGTATTTGCTCACCAATAAAAAGCCAATAGGAAATTAGGATGTTGTAGGAATCAATGTGTAAGGACTATGTAGTTAAAACTTAGAAGAGGAAATATGCTAATGGCGGGAAAGGCTTCACAGCAGGTGTGGGACTGTGGGGGGTTACTGCAGTGTGTGCAGGATGTGAACTGCAAGAGTATGCTATTTAGTAAGGTTGATGACAAGCATAAAGTGATGAAAATACAGATGGGCTGTTCGAGGGATACTTAATAAATTGCTCTTGTCAGAGTTAAAAGTTCATTTTGGTGAGCATTTGAAGATGAATCTTTGGAACTGGATGATAAAAGGCCTTTGTGTCAAGCTAGAGAGCCAACATTTAATTCTGTATGCCACAGAGAACTCCTAAAGCTGCAGTGAACAGTCTTGCATAAATACTGTGAAATCTTACCTGAGATCTTCTCTATGTGACGTCTTTTGGGTTCAGTTTTTTACTCACAGATAATTCTTCATATTATTAAAGAATGTTTTTTTAAAATACTTATAAATGAAAGCTATGCAAAAAGAGAATGAAAAGAAACTAGATAAATTCAGCATCTCTAGAAAGTTGTCAGAAGCACGTCATTTTCCTTTTGTATGCACGTGTGTGGGAGCATGCATGCCTTCGTGCAGAGGCTGAAGCAGGACTTGGGGTGTCTCCCTCTACTGCTAGCTGTCCTGTTCCCCTCGAGACATGGTCTCTTCTGAACCTGAAGCTTGCTGTTTCAGTGGCGCTACCTTGCCAGCAACCTCCAAGGAACTGCCCATCTCCTCTCCCCATCCCTGGGCTTGCAGGCAGGGGCAGCCACACCTGGCTTTTCCACATGAGTGTTAAGGGATTGTACTCAGGTGATTGCACAAGTGTTGTTACCCGCTGAGGCATCACCCCAGCCCCTCAGAATTCTGTTATATTTGAACATCACTTGACACTGAGGTTTAGCCCTCCATAACCATTCTCAGAACAATGTTTTTCTTTCCAGTGATTTTACATTTTCTGGGGTAAAAACTCTCCATAATTATACTGCCAAATCACTTAGCCTTGGAACCAGTACCAGATTCTTCTCATTCTCCCCAAACACTAGATAATCACAAGGCAAGTGCCTGATAGCCTACTACTCTTATCGCCCTTAGGATCTTGGATGTTTTGAGCTGCTCTCATCCTCCGATCCCATGAAAACTTGAGGCAGCTCCTTTAAGAGAAAACAAACATGGTTCTGTTTAGTTAAAAATTAAAAACCATAGCTTGCTGTTGGGTACTTCTCCTAAGGAAGCATGGGAAGGAAAGAAAATCACTGCACTGATGAGGTCTCTCCCACAGGTGGCACCAGTGATCAAAGCCAGAATGATGGAGCAGGGGACCACAATGGTCAGCTACCAACCCCTGGGAGACAAAGTCAATTTCTTCCGCATGGTCATCTCAAACCCTGCAGCAACTCACCAAGACATTGACTTCCTGATTGAAGAAATAGAACGTCTGGGACAAGACTTATAATCACCTAGCTCATCAAGCTGTTCCAATTCTCTAGGTAGACAATTAAGTTGTCACAAACTGTGTAAATGTATTTGTAGTTTGTTCCAAAGTAACTCTATTTCTACATTGTGGTGTCAAAGTAGAGTACAGTTTAAAGATCAAAAAGCATCGCTCCTTTTAAAATCCTTTCTTAAGTTTAGAATACCTCTCAATAGTGACAAAAGGCTGTGTTCTAATCAATAAGGAAAAGCTTATAATTGTTATAAATACTTCCCTTTTAATAGAGTGTGCAAATTAAAGTTTATTTTCACTTCAGAGCAGTAGAATTGAATAGTGCCAAATCACCCCGGAATCATAAAAGGTTCTCTGGGGTGCAGTGAAAAGGACAAAGTATATATAAAATGTACGCTGACGATAAAATCTCTTGCCTTTTTCATAGTATTAGAAAAAAATTTCTAATTTACCTATAGCAACATTTCAAATGTATTTAAATACATATAATTTTACAAAAGGAAAATATATATATTAAAAGAAATCCTATTTTGTAACATATAGATTTTTATTTTATATGGGTTAAATAAACTGCAGGGCCAGATATAAAACCTAAGCCAGATTTCTTTTTCTTTCTCTTTCTTTCAATGGAGGCACAATAAAACACTTCAGCAAGGTAATTTTAACACATATGCCCACAAATCTCTTTGAAAGTGTGATGATTTCTCTCAGTATATATTCTGACTTATCACATCTCTAAAGGTAGTATTTCAAAGCAAACACACAAAAAAACACTGCAGCTTCTAAAAATGAGTGATCAGATCCTCTTCCCATTTAGGTTTTTCACTAGTTTTCCCTTAGCAGATCCACTTGTTATGCACAACAAACCCAGCATTGCCCTAGATGAAATTTGGGTACATTTATCTATTCTGCTTTCCCCTTCAGCCTGTTTTGAACAGAAGGTTGTTGTTGGTTCTTGAAGCATCTTCTTAGACCATATTCCTTTATTAGATCATTTGGACTAGTTAGAAAAAAATACAAATAAAATCTAATCAGCCCTAGCAAAGGGAAATGTAGCCATCCCCAAAATGCAGTGAACCAGAACATTGAACTCGGCCATGGGAGCTGAGACCTCTGTGAGACAATAGCTTCATCCTGAATGCAGTGTTGCTGCTGTCTGGGGAAAGCATCACTTGCCTCCAGGATCTTCCATTCCTTCTCCACCCTACACCCAAAAGTCTCTCCTACTAGATTCCCTATTACTGAACCCAAATAATGAACTATTCCATTTGGCTATTTTCCTTTCCTGAAATGAATTCCTCATGCTAGTAGAGTTAGAGATAGCCTAAGAACTTCTTTTATCTGTCTCCCATCAAAATCTACTATGACCACAATATGCAGAGATTGCTAAAGTTCAAAATATTTAAAAAACACATTTCATTCTCTGCAAACCTGATGGAGACAAATGAGCTATCCACAGCGCCCATGATATCCCTGGAGTCACAAATGACAGAGCCAAGTGCTGGCACAAGAACTGCAGCCTTTTCATGCAGATGACAGGTACAGCTCTGAAAACATGCTCTCATTCTGTATGGATGGGCTTTTCACTACTCAGAAAGGCTACAGGCACACAAGAAGAGGGCCTCTTAACCACCTGGACTCTTCATGAGCTTGCCCCAGGCCTTAGTTGTCTGGATTGTGTACAAATGTGTTGATCCTTGGTATGAAAAGGGCTTCAAACCCTTGCTGTCTAGAAAGCAAATGGATTCCCTGTGGCAGTGAAAAAGAAACTGCCTGCAGATCTGTATGATGGAATAGCATCCCGTTTTAGGGCTTCTAGATCTTGGCTGCAAAGATTAAGCACACCATTACTTCTCCATCTTGAGGCCTCAAAGGTCTCATTTCAAAGGAACAGACATTTATTAAACTGTCCTATTTAAAGAAGGCAGGTGGGCCCAGTGTCCTCCAGAAAGGATGTTTAGTCCTTGGGGGACAGATTTGGTAGCTGGCTTTCAGTTTGATGAGACAAAATTGAAAAAGGAAACTTGCCTGCGTATGAAATTCCAGCAAAGTAATTTTTACCAGTAAGTTAAATCTCTAACCACTTCTTCTCCAGATCCTTCTTCAAATTTGCTAGGCACCTTGCTCAGACCTGTACATGGAAAACTCTTCCCACCATGGCCCAGAGGAGGCAAATGCAAGCCTAACAGAGTCCAGTAATTTAAGAAATACTCTTTAACATAGATCTCGTGTCCACTCAAGAGAAGGGAATGGAAGAAGCAAAGAACAAGGGAGATTGTTGTGAATAGTGGTCCAAATTCCCAATGCCAGGGGTCTTTATGTACAATCGTTATTTTCTAATTTTAGAAATATTGGTTTTAGCTTTAATCAAAATTAACGTGGTCACTTTCATTTATACAGCAATATTGCTTTTATTATTTAAAATACTTGAAAAAATGCAGTATGTGTGTATCTGAAATCTCTAAATGGTATGGACTTCATGTACAGGACGTGAGGAAAGAAAAGAAAACCAATTGTGTGTGTGTGACTGTGTTGCCTTTATTACATTGATAGTACTGTCTTGTCACCTCAGATTGGGGTTGTGCACTTTATATCTGAATTGTACAGTGTTACGAATTCACACGTGTTGCTGTAAAAGCTTGCACAATGTATTATTAGTATGTCTTCTGTGTGGTAGCTCTATTGAACTTTGATACATTTGCATCTGTTCCTGTTCTCCCTCCTCTCCTTTGATTTTCCCTCCCCTCTTCCTCTCCTTCTTACTGCTTCCCAGCTGTGTGCCCTTGACATCAGCTCTAATAGAGACCATGCCCTCAGCTAAGCCCTAGCCTAAGAAATCTCTTTAAGAATAATGTAATTTCACACAAAATGTCAGGTGAATACTGCTTCATCTCAGAGAGTAGAGAAACCAATTATGGAGTGTCACAAGCTGCCAACTTTGAGGATGTTAACTCTGCTGGGACTTGGGAGTAGGTGTTACTCTCAGAACATGGGAAAAGGAAGCACAGGTGTAAATATCACAGCCAGACAAAGAGTCAAGGAACCTCAAACCAGGTATCATCTTGCACGTGCTTTTCCATTTTCAAGTGCTAAATGCAAACACTGTGTATTTATTAGTTATGTGTGCCAAAAACCTGTTTCCAAATGGTGTTTGTGAATAATGTCAACATTTTCTCAGCATCCCTCCATTACTAAAGACAGAAAAAAAATTAAAAATATACAAACATGTGGCAACCTCTTCTTACCAAGTGTAAACTTGTGTATGATCAAAGTATTTTATCTGTGTTGACTCTCTAAACCCAAATAAATGTGTAAATGTGGACACGTGTCAGGCTGGGAATGTTCACTTCTCACTCTGTCATGTGGTGGAGGTTATTTTTTTATGACTTGAGTGTCTTTAGGTCTTAACATCTGCCATCTGGGGAATGTTATTGCAGAAACTCTGGTCTCTCCTCCAGACAGAGCTGGTCATTTAAAAAGCTATGGATAATTTCACAAAAATAGAAATGTAAGGAAGGGAGTTGGAGAGATGGCTTAGCAGGTAAGAGCGCTTACTGCTCTTGCAGAGAACCCAGATTCAATTCTCAGCACCCACATGGTGATCCACAACTGTCTGTAACTCCAGTTCCGGGAGATCCAATGCTCTCTTCTGGCATTGCACGTATATGGTGCACTTACGTGATGCAGGCAGAACACTCATACATATAAAATAAAATAAATACAGTATTTTTATAGGAAAATAAAATAATAAATTCCCATGTAGCCCTCATCCATTTTCCTTATTTACTGCTGCAGATCACAAATCTTATTTCACCTCTTCCTCTACCACAACACCTAATTATCTTTACATGGATGTTTGAATGATAAGGACTCTTGAAAACCAGAATCACAGTAGTAAAGAACAGCTGGGATATCCAATTCAAGCACATGCCTCAACCTCACTTACACATGGTCTGGGCAGATGTTTGCGGTGTATTTTCCATTGTGATGAGTACACTTCTGGACTCGTATAGGGTTCAAATTTTGAGAAAGTCTTATGTGCTCAGGGATTTTTCTCCTAGGTTGTTAAGGGCATAACTAAGAAGTATGGGTAAGTTAAAAGCTGTGCTCATAAGGGACCAATGACAACTAGGAAACAGAGGCAACACTGCACATTCCTCACTTTGTTGACATGAGTCTCTGCACCTAGGAAGAATTTGCTACTCTGATTTGGGGAGAAGTGTCTCAATAGTATTAAGAATGCAGGTTCTGCAGATAGATTATCTGGGATCAAGTCACAGCCTATCACTGACCAGCTGGGATACCCTAAGAACATCACCTAACCTGCTTGACTTTGTTTCCGAGCTTTCCAAGAGTAGCTTTCTTCATAAAGTTTTTGTGTCATTTAAATCAAATATATGTATGGCACTAAGCATGGCTCTTGGTATCTGTGATGATTAATCTACATTATAAACTTGGCTGGATTTGCAACCACCAAGGAGACACACCTTAGTGTGTGTCTGTGAGGGTTTTTCGGAGAAGTTTAACTAAACATAGAAGACCCACCCTGAAAGTAAGTAATACAGACTTACGGGCAGGGGCCCTGGGTTGAATGAAAATGATGAAAGGAGAACGAGCTGAGCACCAACATTAATCTCTCTCTGCTTCCTGGCTGCAGATGAAATGAGACCAGTCACCTCACACTCTGCTGTCGTGCTTTCCATGCCATGACAGACTGTGTCCCCTCAAACCATGGTCAAAATAAATTCTTCCTTCAGTCGCTTTTGTCAGGTATTTTGTGGCAGTAGTAAGAAAAGTAATCCAGCATTCAGTAAGGATTCGATAACTCTTGATTGTGTCATATGGTGCTGATTATACATGAATTCTGTAAGGCAGCCCATGTCACCTCCTTAAGCACTCACACTCTATCAAGTTCCTCCATTACTGACTCTTAGGCAGTAGTGTTCAGTGGATACCTACCTAACAGTTCAGCCTGGAAATACATGTTTCACATTGTCTTCTACTCGCCCAGTATAAATTGTCCTCTAGTCTTTAGATCCTTTCTCCTCATCCCCATCTAGAACACACTAAGTCTTAGCAAGATTCTCCACAATCTCCCATTGTGCCCTAAAGTTAGAAATCACTCCATCCATCTTTACCAGTGCATCGTCCCCTGGTGCATGATGTGACCTTGACTAAGTTCACTGATGTCCCTGAGTTACCTCAGCTAAGGAATGAAGGATGGGTCCTAAGGAAGAAGCTTGGCTAAAGATTATTTAAGATCACAAATTTAGACCAGCATCAAATTGACCTGGACAGGTAAGCGGTCTCAAGACCTCCCACCTCCCACCTCCCACACACACTTCCTTTGCCCTGTGCCTACTTGAAGCCTTTCCTTCAAGTGCCTATCAGATTAGAGGCTCCCACACATCTCACCTCCTGAGCACTATCACTGCCATCAGGGGCCTGTATAGTGCTACACAGGTAGCACTCTCCTCCCCCTCACTCTGGTACCTCCATCTGCAGACCTGTGCCAAGCACCTGTTCACTCCACAGGTCATCGTCATCACACACTTTCCTCTGGGGCTATAATCCACCTGAGTGCCTACATGTGTCACAGATAGCTCTGCTTCTCTTTAGCACACGTTAACCTCAGCTTCTGATGAACTGCAAGGAGAACCTGCTCGCCCTGCAAGTGCCTGTTGTATGATCAGAAGCTGATTTGGAATCACCTCTGCCACCTCACTCACACATCACAAGACTGAACTTCAAGCCTCACCCAGCTGATATAAAACTTTCAAAACCAGCACAGCAATGAATATTCAAATGCCCATTCAACAAAGGGGGGTAGACACCTATCCCAAAAGATATAACCAGTCATCTAACTCCAGATGCCCACCAGGTCCTATCATAAAAAACAAAATGAAAAACAAAAACAATATGTCTTCTCCAAAAACTATTGTTCCATGGTCATGATCTCTAACGAGAGCAATGTAGATGACACTTAAGACATCGTATTCAAAAAACAAGTATAAATATGTTCTAAGAATTCAAAGAGGACATGTATAAAGGCCAGAATGAAGACTAGGAAAACACAAATAGTTGAATGAAATAAGGAAGGTGATTTAGGATATGAAAATGAAATTCAATAGAGAAAGAAAGAGTAAAGAAAACCCAAACTGAAATTAAGCTTGAAATGAAAAATTCAAAGTCTCATAAAAAGCTCAGTAGATAGCCTCAGCAAAGAATGGATCAAGGGGAAGAAAACTGTCACAGCTTGAAGACAGGTGAGAATTAGATCATTCAAAGAAAGCAATCTTTTTTTTAACCTCATGAACAGAGCATGCAGAATCTTTGGTGAATGAGCACACTTACAAACACATAGCCTATGGGTGGCTGAGTGTTCTATCACTAAATGACTAAGGGGATTTGTTTGTTTTCATGGTGAAAGCAATATTATCCCAGGGTGATGAGGTTTTCAAAAGATGTCTCTTGCCTAATACTTTCTCTGTGTATAGCAGTAAAGGAATTATTTACTTGTTTTGTTTTGTTTTGAAAGAGGGTTTCACAGTGTAGCCCAAGCTAGCCTTGAATTCATGATCCTCCTGCCTCAGCCTCCTGAGTACTAGAATTATAGATGCCTGCCACCATGCCTAGCAGTAAAGGAATTTGAACAGCCATGTTGAACCCAACCAGCATTTGAATAACATGCTCAAAATTGATGATAAAACAAGAAATTACACATGTTAATTCTGAAAGCCAAGGGTTCCTCCTCTGGTCCTTGAGGACCTTCTCAGAAACTTCCACAGCCAAGTACACACAAATCTGATATAGCATATACTGTACTAGGGGCTGAGTTTGTCCAGGGTTGGAAAACGGAAGTCAGACCTGTGTGCCCATGTTTTCATTCCTCTCATGAGCCAGCTGCCAGCTCTACAGCTGGAGTCAGAATGTCTTTCTCAAGTTCTGGCTCTGTCATTTACTAGCTTTGTGAACAGCTCATGTAACCTCTAAAACTCAATTCTCTAATTTGTCAAACAAGGGCAAAAATAGCATTTGACTCTCAGGGTGATAGTGGGGATTCAAATGAAAAAAATGCTCAATGCCTGGGACACAGTGACTGTTCAACTCATGCCAGCCTCATTTTCATTCTATGTTGCTCCATCCAGACTTAGATGCAAAGCTGCCCTCTCACATGAAGCCCTCAAGAACTGTGAACGGTTCTTATCTCCTTGAGAGAACTCACATTGTGCGTCATCCCTGATACAGTCTTGGCTGTAATGGTGAATGAGGGGACAGAAGGTTGGACAGACAGTGGAAGAGAACAGGAAGAAGAGGACGTATGTCAGCCCGGTGTGGTAGCACTCTGAGGCTGAGACAAAAAGATAGTGAATTTGGAAGCTATCCACGGTTATGTAGCAAGTCTCAAAAAAGTGTGCTACAATACTGAATTTCCAACCAAGATGCCCTCACTGTTTCAATAGTGGATGACAGTTATGGGGATAGCCAGCCACTTTCTGGTTGGATTTGAGGCCCTCTCCACTGAAGGAAAATCATGACTGGCACTGTAAACCTGGCCCAAAGCCCACAAATGGAGAGGTCATATAGGCTCTAGTAGGAAACCTATCATTAGCCTTTTGCTTAATGGACACATTAAGCTGCCTTCTAAATAGTAATGTTTATATCTACAGATTAGTGCTGCTCTCAACCTTGGTCACAGCAGTTTCTTTGTACGGTGGGAAATAGTGAATGTATAGATTCATGAATCAAAGTGATGAAAATTAGTAACTACTGAGTTTTGGGTCCTAAATGGACATTTATATCTCTGCCTCCAAGGCTCAAGGAACAGAATACCCATGGAAGAGAATATGAAAATACTGTAAGAGCCAGAGGATGAGGAGGAGTACAGTGAAACATTGTCTTCTGGAAATGACATGGCTATGGACTCATGAACTCACAGTGGCTGTGGTTGTCTGAACAAGCTAATGCTTGGTCCTGTCAACAATCCATCATGGAAGGGAAAGGGGCTCTTGAGACTCCACATCTCCTTGAGGAGCTGTAGGTAGTCAATGGTTACTGGGGGAGGGAGAGTTGTAGTGCTCAGGGATATAGTCACTGATAAGTTGCCCTAAGTGAATAATCCCCCACCCACACTCATGCAAGCAACCCTAATTAAACATAAGCCCATATGCAAAGCATGGAAGTAGGAGGACAACTTGTTGGAGAGAAGAAGGGGGGTTCATTATAAGTAGAAAGAGGATAAGGGCAAATAATTGGGTGTGAGATGATGAAGTACTTTACAAATAAATAAGACATAAATTCATTTACTTGGACCAACTGC